TTTCTTATCATTTTGATGATTCCAGAACCTTGCAGATGCTAGATGCTAGATGATCAACCTTTTCTGATCGATTCCACAACGTTTCTTTCACAATGCAATCGCATGACCATAACTGATCTTTACCTTTAAGAGCTAACTGATTTCACTTTTGAGGTTTTTGTAAATGTATTTAGGCTTTACAAAAATTTCGCACATAGATTCTTGTTATGTAAATAATGAATAAATTAAGGCTTTAAATTAAAAATCGTAGCATATAAATGGATTCTTTTAAAAACTATTTGGGAGAATATTGTATCCAATAACTTGTTAAATATCAAATCAACGTTTGTACCCATCGTACTTCCAAACAATCAACGTTTAAGTATTTAGGCCTACAGAGTGGCACACGGTTCAATCGGCTATCCATATCCACACAATTCATGAAGCACCGTTTTCGCAAAACCTGCAATATTTTTAAGTTTATTAAACTGTTTGTCCCTACATTGTCTTATACATTGGCCCACTCGTAATCTTGTATTATAGCCTTATTTCAAATGAAGTGTTTTTATTTCGTTAGTGATATCCTCTCATATAAAGATTGGTGAAAAGTATGTGTCTGAAACAAGTGTTATAGGTACAAATTTTAGGGTAAAGATACCAGCGCATTGTTTCGTCATAACAAACAAACTATGTGAAAATCCAAGAACTGGTGGTGGTGGTGGTGTTACATTTTGTCCCCCCCCCCCTCCCCCTCCACCATCGGATATTTACCTCAACATATTTTCACTCTCTTGAATAACATCTTTTGTGCGTAGGATTGTCATCCCTTATTATACAGGAATCTCGTATCATTCATGAAGCTGGCAAATCGTTTGTTAAATGGCCTGAAGAAATCTTGTAAGAGATCGCGAGTTGTGTTCCACATGGCAGGACCTCGGGCCTTACTGTCATTCACGTTCTTTGGCTTTCTTCCAGTTATGCGCGAGATTTTATCTTTTGGAAGAGCAGCTAATATACATTCGTATGTCAGGTAAAGGCAGGGGCGTCGCCAAAGGGGGGGGGGGGGTTGTGGGGGGGGGGGGTGCGACACCCCCCACCTGTCAGGATATTGTCGGTAAAATTGCGCTGCCGTCGCGGAAAAGAGAAAAGGGGGAGGGAAAAAAAGAGAGGGAAAAAAAGAGAGGGGAAGGGAAAGAAAAGAAAAAATGAAAAGGAAAAGAAAAGAAAGAAAGGAAAGAAAGGAAAAGAAAGGAAAGAAAGGAAAAGAAAGGAAAGAAAAGAGAAGAAAGAGAAAAAAGAAAAAGAGGGGGGAGAGGAAAGAAAGGAAAAGAAAGAAAAGAAAGAAAAGGAAAAAAAGAAGAAAAAAGAGTAAAAGGGAAACAAAAGAAACGGGGGATGAAAGAAAGGAGAGAGAGGGGAGGTAAGAGTCTGAGAGAGGAGGAGTGGGAGTAAAAGAGAAAAGGGGGTTGTTGGGTGGAGTCGTCTCGTCGAGGGAGCAAGAAAGACACGGGTAAATATGTTGCTGTGTCGGTATTCTTGCTCGATCCTCATCAATGCATAAGTTTGAAGTCGGTGAGATATATATTGTCGGTCGGCCGACAAGTTTTTATTTCTACGAACTGCGACTTCTTATCCGCTGTGACGACTTCGAGAGTGACTACAACTACAATACTTGTATTTTCTCGAAGTTTCACTTCCCTATAATATCAGCTAAAGAAATCAGAGGTTTAAAATTTTTGGGGAAACTAAATTCAAACAAGGTTTAAGAGTCAACAACGGTACGACGAATCATTTTCCTTTCTTTATATTGTGATAAAACGCCAAAAATTCCGCGCTTCGCACGGAAGGGGAAACTTCATTTAGACGAATCGAGAACGGTACAACGAATCGTCTTCTTTCTCTAATAATTTAAGGAAACGTCAAAGCTTCCGCGCTTCGCGCGAAAGTGGGAAACTGAATTCAGACAAATAGGGCTTAATAAGATTCGAAAACGGTACGAGGAATCGTCTTCCTTTCTCTATATTGTGATGAAACGCCAAAACGAGGCCATTGCTTTGTCATTGAACCATAATTGTACGCAGCGGGGGCTAGGGTGGGGGGCAGTTTCCATAAATTTAAAAAAAACCCAGAAAATGCAATAAATGTTCAATTATTTATTGCATTTTACCCCGGTCCCCAACATAAAAAAAATCCTCTGGACGGCCATGCATTATGGCTCAAGGCATGGGCACAGTCATGGTTCAGTGACAAAGCAATGGCCTCGTAACTGTGAGGCCCCATGATCAAAATCGTGTCGATGTGCTATATTAGTGCCCTTTTGTGTGTTGGGCATTAATCCTCATTACTGTCATTTATGACTTAAGGTCCCCTAGTTGATAAGCATAGTAGCATATACATGCTTTAACAGTCACGCAAAACACACATTGTCAAATTATTATTCAATAAAATGTGAGAATGTATACTATTATCTAAATCTATTATTTCTAAATTATTTTAAAAATAATTCCATAAATTGGGGTAAAACAAAAATATTCCAATGTTATGAGCGACAGTGTATATCATACAAATATCAAAATATAAATAAATATAGAAAATTACAAAATACAATTTTAACAAACAAAAAATTGCAAACCAGGTTATAAATAAAGATTTGAACATAGAGAATAACGAAATGATTAAGAATGTAAATGATATAAATCTATAAATGCCATATATCCTAATTGAAGCAAACAGTAAAAAATTATTTAAAAAAAAAGCAACATACAACCACTATAACAAACCAACAAGAGAAAACAAGAAGAAGATATGATAAAGTATATACAAAGAGGAGAGAAAGAAGAGTTATATCATACCATAATCATATTACAACGTGGATGTCTTTTGCAATTTTGCCAATTCTTGTTTAAATGGTTTCATATTTTTTATAAATCTAATGCGTTCGGGTAATTTATTCCAGTTTGATGGACCTGTGACAAGAAATGACTTCTGATAAAAGGTCGTACGAGCATAGAGGGTAATCCCATTTCATAGCAGTCAATATATATATATATATATATATATATATATATATGTATATATATATATATATATATTAGTGCCACGTTGGGGACTTGAACCGTGGACCATATAAGCCACAATCCGGTGACATATCCATTTGACCACGACACCTCAACAAATCTTCACTTTTTTGTTTTATTTTCTTTTGTTTTATAATGTTTTATTAAGGTGTTTTTCTTGTTTCTGTTTGTTTTTTTGACTTGTGATTACCCCCTCCCTCCCTCCCCCTCCCACACTAGAGAATCCGGGTTCCTCCACTTTATTACATTCCACTAGAATAGAATGAAACTCGATTAAGATGTGACTTCATCGGGAGATGATAAAGTAGGATGATCAACTTACACATGGCGCTGTATAAATGCAGTATCTTTCTGAATGTTTTTGCAGACAGCTGGTGAAGCACCGGATATTCTTTTTGGCTACGTGGTCAAGGACAGCGGCACTTTTATCTAGGTAATTGAACTGCGAAACAAATCTGATGGAGGAGAAAATAAGAAAATTTGGGATTTAATGATGTGATAGGTTGTCGAGAGCTACAATGTCATTGTCTTACTAAATTGTCATCGTAAAACATGATTATAACAACGCAGGGCGTAGCGTGGCTCCAGCTATAGAGTACCGAAGCTGTGACATCATAAAAATCTGTTTTTAGAATTTCTCAATTTGTCTTCATTTTCCAAAAGAGCATCAAAAATAATGTCCGAATGTCGAAACCCAATTATGTTAAGTATTGACCGAGATATGACCATCTGAATAAATATATGTCCTATGTGAACTCGGTGTTATAGTGCTCTGGTTCCTAATAAAAATTGAGAAATTCTTAAAATAGATTTTTTTTTTGGATGACGTCACACTTCACCACTCCATCGCGGGGCGTCTGGTATCATGAAGGCGGGGGGGGGGGGGGCGGTGGTGCCAATGAAACGCGAATTAACCACAGATTTAAGGATTATTATCAAGGCGGACCTCCGATTGGGGAAGAATGTACGGGAAGTAGGCGTATCATTTTCTTTTCTCATCCTTTTCCCTCTCCCATTCTTATCTCTACTTTTGTCTATGACGATTATTGACTAGTCTTTTGCTTCTTTTTGAAACCTGTGTGCATTGTGTACAAAAGAACATAATGCAAATCTCCATTTACTTCGAATAAAATCCCTGTTTCTCCCCATTCTTTCACTTTCCTTCGACACTTTGCCTCGGAACAGATTTCTCGATAAACCACAGAATTTAACCGAATCCTCCCCCCCCCCCCCAAAAAAAGAAAGAAATATATTTAACTATAGTTTGTATGTAAAAAATGTATCGTTTCAGTAAGCCTATACACTTCGAATTCATTTCATGCAAAAAAATCAATATATCGGGACAGGCGCGTACGCAGGATTTTTTCAAGGGGGGGGGGGGGGGTTTTAACATTTATAAATCGGGCCGAAAATTTCGCAACGACTCAGCCAGCCGCTGAATAAGCGGGGGGGGGGGGGGTAAGAGGTCACTTTTTTTTTTTTTTTTTTGGTCCCAAAAAAAATCGCAACGACTCAGCCGACCGCTGAATAAGCGGGGGGGGGGGGGGGGGGGGGGGGGGTAAGAGGACACATTTTTTTTTTTTTTTGGTCTCGAAATTTGAAAATTTGACATTTTGCTCCGTTGGGGGGGGGGGGGGGGGTAAGGTCAGCTTTTTTAGGTCAACCATGGGAATTTTTTTTTTTTTTTTTTTTTAATAAAAAAAAAAAATCCAAAAGGGGGGGGGGGGTTTTAGAGAAATTTAGGGGGGTGTTTACACACAAAAAATTACCAAAGGGGGGGGGGGGTTTAACCCCCCAAACACCCCCCTGTGTACGCGCCTGTATCGGGATACCTTTGAGTTGGATTTCTGACGATCATGATGATTTTAGCCTGTGGTTGGACCGCGTGGATAAGGTCAGCATTGGTATAGTTCTCTTCTTCCCAAGTTTTCCCAAGGTCCCAAGACGTACTGATCGATGCATCGCCTTCCATGGAGAAAAGGAGTACAGTAAAGATTAGTGAGAAGTGGATTCTGGCTTTTCAAAAAGGGGAGAGTCACAATGGCAATTTTTGTTCTGACAAGCAGTTATAAAAAAAAAAATGTTTTTGCCTGGTGCCCCCCCCCCACACACAAACGAGAAAAGTGCCCATTCAGCAACAAAATGTGATATCCTTCCAGAGGACTACATGTCCCTCCCGCAATATATTAAGTGCCCCTAGTATTATAAATTTGCCCTTTCTTCATTTGTTGTATCCTAAGTTTTTTTTAATAAAAACACATATGACAAAGCAGATTCCCTATATGCATGCCTGCATCTGTTTGTATGCGTTTTGTTCCGTTATTACAGTTTTTCCTCTTGTATAGCCAAGCTAAATGCAGCTATTTATTTTAAAAACGATGTTCGATCCTAGCCCTCCGGCGGCAAAAGAATCCCCTTAGCAAGAGAAAATATTGTCCCTCCTGATCCGTGACATAAGCAAATATCCTTTCTGCAATAGGTGTAAGTTGGCCTAACAATGTTTTTTGCACTTTATTCCATCTGTGCAGTTTCCCCCAAGTTTTATGATGCGAAACCAGGATTGTTTTCCTTCTGGGCAATGTTTAATGCTTTTCCTGCTCCGGTGACAAACGGTTGCCCCTTCAAAGCAAAGAAACGCCCCTCCCCCTTGCTGCTTCCGCGATAGAATTCGAGACACTGTCATGACCAAACACAATGTAGAGTAGAACTACAGAAACGTCCTGACAGCTTACAGAAAACCTTGGGGAAAGTGACATCACCGTCAGCGTTCTGAGAAGGACTTGACTCAATCGATTTAACTCCAAAAGTCTTGAACCAGTTGAGATACCAGTCGATAGACGAGTCTTCTTTCTCTCCTATCATCTCGCTTATTTGACGTGCTGTTTAAAGTGGTAAAGATACGGGGACAGGCGCGCCGGAAGCAGTTTGGGATTGGGGGGGCAAACATTCCAGGGGGCTCACCTTCCGAGGGCAGTGACGTAATGAGAAAAAACGTTCGGAAGGGGGGGGGGGGCAGACGAAAAATCTGCATCACCACCAGTCTTACACGTTACATGCAGGTCCCGCGGAACGTTTTTCAAAGTGAAGTATTAACGATCAGGTAGAGCGTAAATTGGCGTGGGGTCCAGCCTCGGCAGGGTGTCAAGGGGCTGAACCCCCGGAAGCTCAGGGATTTTAGGTATTTAATTACGGTTAGATGAGCATCCAGGGGCCTCTTTAAGGCCATTGACGTGTTCCAGAGGGGGGGGGGGAGCCCCCAGAAGCTCAGAGGTTTTAATATTTGACTACGGTCAGATGAGCAACCAGGGGCCGCCCTAGGGCACTTGGTGGGGTCCAGGGGGCAGGGCCCCCGGAAGCTCAGGGGTTTTAGGTATTGAATAATGGTCAGATGAGCATCCAGGGGCCCGCCTTATAGGGCCCTTGGTGGGGTCCAGGGGGCAGAGCCCCCGGAAGCTCAGGGGTTTTAGGTATTTAATAATGGTCAGATGAGCATCCAGGGGCCCGCCTTATAGGGCCCTTGGTGGGGTCCAGGGGGCAGAGCCCCCAGAAGCTCAGGGGTTTTAGGTATTTAACTACGGTCAGATGAGCAACCAGGGGCCGCCCTAGGGCACTTGGTGGGGTCCAGGGGGCAGGGCCCCCGGAAGCTCAGGGGTTTTAGGTATTGAATAATGGTCAGATGAGCATCCAGGGGCCCGCCTTATAGGGCCCTTGGTGGGGTCCAGGGGGCAGAGCCCCCGGAAGCTCAGGGGTTTTAGGTATTTAATAATGGTCAGATGAGCATCCAGGGGCCCGCCTTAGAGCCCTTGGTGGGGTCCAGGGGGCAGAGCCCCCGGAAGCTCAGGGGTTTTAGGTATTTAATTACGGTCAGATGAGCATCCAGGGGCCCGCCTTAGGGCCCTTGGTGGGGTCCGGGGGCGGAGCACCCGTCAGCTCTGGGGTTTTAGGCATTTAATTACGGTCAGATGAGCATTTTTTATGCCTTATTTGTGACATTGGCAGGTCACTTATTTTTTCTCTCCGTCTTTCTTTCTTTTTCTCTTTAACATACTTTTTCAAAAAGTGAGGGGGGAGGGGCTCGAGCCCAGCAACTTTGCAGACCATGTCATAAAGGCTTCTAAATAAGCGTATTTTTCGCCCGACTGTAATTTGGGAATTTCTTATTTTCCAACAAACGCATAAAAAGGTATGACTTTAAAAAAAATGGAGAAAAAATACCGGAAAATCATGTCATAATAGCAACATGTGTAAATCACTGGTATCGTATAGATATACCCCCCCCCCCCCCCCCATCAGTACGCCAGCGTTCAGGGGCTCATGTCTTCTCACCCCTATAACAAAACCAAAAAAAACAGACACGTTTTCCCATTCTCGCACAATATGTCCACGATATGCGCGTATCGCTATTATAAACCGTATAGGTAGCATGCGCAATGTTTATAAAAATTTAATTCCTGTGAACTTTCCTTTTCTTTGAATGGAATGGTATATGTGCTTTAATTCAGGTTTTTATTATTGTTATGTTCTTTTGGGTTAAAAATACAAACCATGTTTATTCCTTTACTGCTTTTTTTTTGTTTTTTTGGAGGGGGGGGCGTTTTGGGGGGGCAAAAATGCGTTTTGCCCCCCCACTTTTTGACTGGGGGGGCAACTGCCCCCCCTGCCCCCCCCCCCACTTCCGGCGCCTATGTACGGGGAGGGGTTAAAGAAATGCTTCGGGAGTAGAAGAACGGGGACAAATGACGTCTCCGATCTCGTCATTCGCGTCACGTATACCTCAGTCACACCGGCAAACCGACTCAACGCCGAAGGCTCCAAACAGACTGATTTATAGCCACTGGGGGTAATGCAATCGTTTGTTCGATCTGTTGTTGGTCTCGGTAGTGTGACTGAGGTATTGACGTTTCTTCATAATTCCATCAGAACTTTTACCATGTCGTCATTATATAGATATTAAAATTAACGAACATCAGTCTTTGTAATGTCTATATTCGGCTTTTACATTATTATGTATGTAAAAGGGTAATAACAGTGGGGAAAGGGGGGGGGGGCGGGGGTGCATGGAAACAATGATACTTTAAGTCTGACGAAGGCTTTATTGAATGAAGTCGTGGATATGACAGTAAATATCATGTGCAATAGTTCCTTGTATAATCATGACGTATTGGTATTAATCCATTGAAGAATAATGTAAGCCTAGCTCTGAAACCTACCTTCCTTTTGGTGAATTGGTATGTTACGTGTATCAATTCCACGCCTACGTCTATAGACCACCAATGTGGTTCCTTCGGGACGCTGGCCAGGACATGTGGGTGTTGGGTGATCTTATCCCACAGATCTGTTGTACCGCATTTATGCATGCCAATGATATAGAAATATGGCAAGCAGTAGAGTTCATTCTGTTTGTTGAACCAACATGGACTCTTGTAATTCGGCAAAAACTGACGAGGAACTATTTCGAAAATCTGCGATTTGGGAGAGTAAAAAGTGTAGGTATTATTATTAAGCTATACGATGCTGACTAGTCTTGACGAAATAAACCTACGTGGTCGAGGAAAATGACCATGTGCGCATACGCAAGTAGGCCTATTAATAGAAAACTAATTTACCCCCAGTCCCGGGTTTATAGGGTTATATGTGTAGACATTGGGAGTCATAATTGGTGGCTAGTTTTGTAAGTAATCGGTGGCCTCTACACCCCCGCCCCCGCCCCCACCCTCACTGAAAAGGTCTAAAGGCGATGCCCCCCTGAGTCCATCCTAGCAGAAATTTAAGATTGTGTCTTATAGGGGTGTCGGCCTTTTCAATTATTGGCCCATGAAATTCTACTGCTAATGGCTGTGAAGATTGCCTCATACGGTACAGTCATACATGTCGGTGTGTACAGGGTTTCACAGGGTGTTTTCCCCTCAAAATGTGCATTTTGTAAAAAGATATGAATTAATTTGGGAAAGCAAAAAATGGTCCATCCGCCACATTATCTGATCATTTATTTTCGTTGTGAGACATGTCTGCCCCCTCCCAGGCCCGTAGCCACGGAGGGGGGGGGGGGGGCACGTGCCAAGGTTTCCAAGATCGGTTGAACTTTTTTAGACCCCTCCCCAGGACGTCGATCAATAATGAATGTGCCCCCCCAAAAAAAAAATAAAAAAAATATCAACCTCTGGCTACGGCCTTGCCCCCTCCTCATTCTGGGGTCGGAGGGACCGCATTCGTGTTCCCCAAATCTTCGGTAAAGGGGGGGGGGGGGTAAGAGGACATTTTTTTGGTCTCCCCCCCCCCCCCCCCCCCCCCTGCGTACGCGCCTGACCCCGAAATACCGTCCAAAGTACTAGTTAAAAAAACATAAACAAAATCACGTCATAATATAATTTAAACGTCTTTGGCGGTCTTTGGTATTTATATATCGATACTGCGCATTTGTCGATTAGATATCGATATCATTAATACTGTCTGCATGATATCTTATAATTGTTGGAGAAAAAGGTCGAAAATGATGGAAGTCATGGTGGTGTTAACATGGAAGTTCGTCTTCTTAGTGATCACATCTCACCTTGCAATTACTGGTTCTGGCGTAAGGGCAAATGAGAGTAAGTTTAATGAAATAAAACTCCAGTCATTGATTTGCTGTTACTTGTCAGTCTCATTCGTCATCTGAGCTGAGGACTGAGCCGAGTCCGATTTGGGTGATGATATGCGTTCACCCAGCCCGGCCGTAGCGGTAGGCGCGGCTTTAGAGCTGCGCGTAGGTTAGGTACGGCCTAGGGCTAGGCGTTCAGTATTTGAATGCAGCTGCAAGACTAGACCTTCTAGATCTAGTAGAAAAGAGATTGTTTCTAGCCGGTGTAGATCTAAGTTAGATCTAGACATATTCCTAGTCTATAGGCCTAGGTCTAGAGACTAAAGTAGACCTAGACCTAGATCTAGATCTAGATGTGTTTGCATCAATAGGCTGAATGAACACATTGGATTGTACCATGGCATGGTAGTAATGAAACCATCGTGACGTTGGTGAATCAGAGAGAGAGAGAGAGAGAGGTTTAACCCCCCCCCCCCGGGGGGTTTAAACCATGGTTTCAAAAACCTAGGAGGGGGTTTAAACCCCCGGGGGGTTTTGTACCACTGTTGTGAATTCGGGCCATGAATGATGTCTGTGAGTGTGATGATAGATCTAGATCTAGATCTAGAAGTAGATTCTAGATCTAGAAGTTAAAAAAGTTAGAACTAGACTAGATCTAGGGCTAGGCTAGGCCTAGACCTAGCCGCCTAACTTTAGATCTAGGCCTGGCTTAGGGTCTAGACTATTCATTAATTGAAAAAGCAGATGAAAATGAAGAATGATTAGCCTGGTCTAGATCTAGATCTAGAGGTCTAACGTACGTTAGTCTAGTCTAGGTCTAACAAGTTAGGCCTAGATCTAGGCCTAGACTCTATAGTCTAAGTAGTAAGTATGAATGATCTCCATTTTATTTTGAGGGGGCCCAAGTCTAGATCTAGGCCTAGATTCTAGTCTAGATCTAGACCTAGATACAGCTGGTTACTTTTTCTTTCTTTCTTTCTTTCCCTTCTCTTTGAAATCAAAATTTCTGGCAATTTTGTGTGTGTAGTCTAGAGAACTAGGTCTAGAGTCTAACTGTTACTGTTAGACATCTACGAGTATGATCTAGATCTAGATCTAGATCAGGAGATGATGATAGATCTAGTAGTAGACCTACGTAGACTAGACTAGTAGATCTAGACTAGATCTAGATCTAGATCTATTATTACTAAAATCTAGCCTAGATGATTAGATCTAGATCTAGACTAGGTCTAGTTCTGATGAGAATGTACCGTAGAATCTTCTACTTCTAGTTCTACGACGATAATGATAAACTCAGCAGGATCCATAAGTCAGGATGTACTGAGGAATAAACTATCTAGTTCTTGGTCTAGATGCTGGATGAAAGCGCTCCCTTGAAGCCCTCCAGTAAAGTAGCGTCAAGGGTAGCGTCAAGGGTAGCGTCAATCTAGATCTAGACCTAGTATGTACTAGATCTAGTCTAGATCTAGGCCTAGTTTAAATAGGATGTCCTTGTCAGACTTTGTGGGTATCAGACGCCCCCCCCCCCCCCCCTAAGCCAACAAACGCAACTGTTGACAACAGTGTTGCCATAACTAGCATTAGGCCTACTTCATACTAGCAAGTAGCATAGCTCCAGAGAGCCTCAGCATGTGTGCAAATAGATCTAGACAGTAGACTCTAGATCTAGATCTAGTCTAGGCCTACAATTTTTTTTTTTTTTTGAGTGGTCGAAAAACACTTAAAAAATTGACCGAGGAAATTATCATTATTAAAGAGAGCAACCTGGTACTGGTAGCCTCTTGTCGATGGCTCTGGCTCGCTTCGCTCGAGCGCTAGGGCCATTGACCAAGAGGCTAGCACCCTGGTAATTTGACAACCAAGGCTTAGACCTATGAAAGAGTTGGTTAGTTTGTTTTTGCTTTTTTTCACACTTTAACTTTATTGCTCTCAGTGAAATTTTGTTTTGAGTCTTGATAAAGTAGACTAGATTCTACAGTAGGCCTATGAATGATGACTTTCATGTTTTTCCATTAATTTGGATAAAACACTTTCATTGTAATTGAGAGCAGGGAAAACCCCATTTTCCTATTCTTTTTCCACTTTAAACAGTATCTCAGAAATGTTTTGTCAATCATATTTTGTAGTTTGTACATATGACTGTGTTGTAGGTCAATTGAGGCAATAATATGAAAACATGGCTATGCCATGTATGCTGTGAGTTATTCATCTGTCCATCTACTGATCCATTTTTTATTTATTTGTTTAATAATCATTCAGTTTTTATATAGATATGGTATGAGACATTGGTTACAAGACTAACAAATTTAAAAGTAGGGTCTAAATGATGTACATATAAATGAATATAAGATCAATTTATTTCGTGAAAAAAAAAATCCTTATAGTCTAGGTCTAGTGCTAATACAGACACAACCAAAATCTATTCAAAGGCTTTTGAAAACGGGTGTTTGAAGATTTTTTTAATATATATGGAGCTTTTCTTATCACTGAAAGAGTAAGATTCATTTTTGAAAAATATTTTTTTTGCATTTAACATTGAAGTACTAGATTGATATCAACACTGCTTTTATTCTTGGTTTTTTGTATCTTTTAGAGTGTTTATTTTTGTTTTTGTTTTTTCTCTAAGTTGTAGAAAATAAGGTTTGTAGATCCAAATGGTATTCGATTGTAGCTCCATGATTTTATGACATTTTCTCCATGTTTTCTCTCCACCTCAGATTTGTTTACAGTGAGCACCCCCTCTCTAGTGAAAGTGAATCAAACATTCGAAATCGCATTCTGGACAGACTTTACATTGTTCTTTGAGTGCTACTGGGACTTCAATGACAACATTACCTACACTACAAATGCCACTGATCTTCAGGAACAGCTAACGCACAAATATACACAACCAGCTGCATACAACATTTTCACAAACTGTTGTATGGCAGGCCAACCGGAAGCCCACTTCTCAGAAGTTTTGGTCTATTCTGAGATATATTATGAAATATGTTCCTACAGAAGTGTGAATCTGACCTATAACTATGACATTTACATCCTTGGAGAGTCAGATCTTTTGATCTTCAATCACCATGAGTTTCCAGATCCATTGTATTATTATATGGAACTTGATGGTTACCCGGTCTTTGATGAGGTATTCTCCCATGGTGCACTGCAAAATGATGACCTGTATGCGGTGCTCTTGGATACTTTACCATTTCCCATGGAACTTCAAAACATCGTTGGATTAGGATCACACAATGTGTCTGTGACTGTTTACAGTGAGATTAACAATACAGCAGTGTATTGTGAGTCACAAATCAAGTTTGTGGAGCTAGTAAGTATAATTCATTATTATCTATATAAGGGTTCCAAGTGGTACAATAAGTAGTGTATTCAATATCTCTAGCGCAGTACCCAGATGAGATGTCGAACCAGTATTGTTTTCATATTTCTCAGTCATCCAGGAACTTCAATTATCGATATCGATATAATGGCGATATCACATGAAAACAATTAAAGCCATATTTAGTATTAAAAAAATATTTCGCTAGTCAGACTATTAAATATACATGTAGATAATAATGATAATATCGTATGGCTATGTTTTCGTGTCAAACATGAATATATTGCTTTCGCTAGGACTTGTCCAATATTATATAACTATTGATGGATGATCGAGAAGTGGATTTTTTAAACAAAAGAAGAAAGCGGAGGAAGTACACTATATAGTTCATTGTCATTCAAACTTTTGCCATTTTTAAAAAGAAAACTTTCATTCAGGCTATTCATCTTACACTCATCAGAATGATAAGTGCGAGATGGAAAACTTAAAAATATGTCTTTGATTCTCTAGCACCAATCAAAAGTTTTATGAAGAAGTTATATTGGAAAAAGTGTATACACATAGATTTTGTTGTTGATCTTTATCCAATTACGACTATCAATTAAAAGATTATGTCTTGATTCGTTTCTGGAGAAGAAAAGAATTTTTCTATTTTTTTACAACAGTTTGAATGAAAGTTATCATGTCTTGGGCTTTTTATGCCTTCGTTACAAAGTAGGCGGAGGCATTATGTTTTCGGGTTGTCCGTCCGTCCGTACGTCCCGTTCTCGTGATCACGTTATCTGAAGAACCGATTGATGGATTCCTGCCAAACTTTGGTCTTGTATGTATCTGGCAAAGCCGATGAACTGAGTAGATTTTTGGGTCACGAGGTAAAATGTCAAAGGTCACAGGGCTCATTATGTAATTGTATGCAATAACAGCTCGTGATCGCGTTATCATTAGAACAGATTGATGGATTCCTGCCAAACTTTGGTCATGTATGTATCTTGCAGAGTTGATGAACTGAATAGATTTTGGGGTCACGAGGTCAAAGGTCAAAGGTCACAGGGCTAATTATGTATGCAAAAATAGCTCGATCGTGATCGCGTTATCTCAAGAACCGATTGACGAATTCCTGCCAAACTTAGGTCATGTATGTTACTTGCAGAGCCGATGAACTGATTAGATTTTGGGGTCATGATGTCAAGGTCAAAGGTCATGCGGCTCATGTATGCAAAAATAGCTTGTGATCGCATTATCATTAGAACAGATGGATGGATTCCTGCCAAACTTTGGTCATGTATGTATCTTGCAGAGCCGATGAACTGAATAGATTTGGGGTCATGAGGTCAAGGTCAAAGGTCATGGGCTCATTATGTATGCAAAATAGCTTGTGAACGCATTCTCATTAGAACTGAATGGTAGATTACTATTTAACTCAGGACAAGTTAACTGCAGAGCCAATGAACTGAGTAGATTTTAGGGTCATGAGGTCAAAGATCAAAGGGTCATATGAGAAATTGCTTGTTATCACGATATTCTGAGAACCTGTTAATGGATTACAATTGAACTTGAATTTGAAAAATTTCTTCTGTTTTGGTTTGTAAAATTGTACTATGACGGAGGCATATCATTTTCGACTGCGCGCAGTCGAAGTTCTATCTAGTTTTTTCTTCACTGTAGTACATGTACCGGTAATCAAATTATTCAACAAGAATAAGATGCATATGTTTAAAAGAATCAATTAGCACATAATGTAAATGAACTTTATGTAATTTCACAGACCATGATTATCTCAGTATAGTATGTTATTTATTTAAGGCCCGGTCACACAGGGAGGACGCATGGGGAACGCACGGCCAGCGCATTGGACATTTGCAATTTGGGCCAGTGCGTTGTCGTTCGCTAGGCGTGCGTCGTCATTCGTTACTCGTTCGTCGAGCGCGCTGGACCAACGCTGGACCAGCGCTATGCATGCGTCGTCATTCGCTGTGTGCGTCGGGATTTTTTGAGCATGCTCAAAAACGTGCGCCGAGCTCGACGCATGAATATACACGCCAAAGGCACGCCAGACATGCGCCGGAGCGCGCTAGACCAGCGCCAGACATGCGTGGAGCGCGCTAGACCAGCGCCAGACATACGCGGAGCACACGCTCTGTATACGCACAGCGCGCTAGCTACACGCCGTGCATTTTGTGTCAGCTCGCTAGCTTTTCCAAAATTATGACAAAAGTTAGGCACACGTTCTTTTCCGATTTCCAATGCGCTGGCCGTGCGTCGTAGAACGCGGTGCATGCGTGGACCATTCGTCCAGCGCGCTAGCAACACGCTGTGCATTCGTGGAAGTTGTTATCATGTGCGCTCTGTGTACGGTCTGTATGCGCACTGTATGCGCCCTGTATGCGCTCAGCGCGCTAGCAACACGCTATGCATTTGGTGTCAGCTCGCTGTAGCTTCGACAAAAGTTGGGCGCACGACAACGCACTGGCCAAAATTGCAAATTTCCAATGCGCTGGCCGTGCGTTCCCCATGCGTCCCCTCTGTGTGACCGGGCCTTAAGAAGTTGTGGGTCACTTATTCATGAATTTTGATCATTTTGGTAGTGCAAGCAAATTTGTTTTGTATAGTGCTTGGAGACTTATTACAGGAAATAAAAGCTAATAGATTTCTTTTTAAGAGATGAAAAGGGAAATGTATGAATTGGTCTGTTGGATGTTATATGTTAATTGTGTTTTGTTCATTTTGTTCACCAGATTACAGGAATGGTGTTTTATGTCAGTGAGTATTTTGTTCAGACCAACCATCCTTTCATTGGCTCTCTTGCTGCGGAGTCTGGTTGGCCTGCTCTCATTGAATGGAGTGCCTATAATGAAGATACGTTTGAACTAGAATTCTACTTTGATTCCTACCGCCAAGCTAGAAGACCAGATGAAGTGGATGAAGTGTGGTTGTTTATTTCGAAGCCAGGTAAAGAAGACATCCTATCTTTTATTTTTATTCTGTGCAATTCCTATAAGAAAAGCTACATGGTACATTTTACTTGCTTCTTTGTGTGTTTTATGTTTTCTTTTATTCATTGTATACCATGGTAATTGTATAAGAACATTAAAAAATGTATTTTCCAATTTGTAAAAGCTTACCGGTATGATTTTCATAATTAGAAAGTTTTTAGAGTATGGAAATAAATGATGAAAAGTAATTAATAAAAATCTTGTTTGTAACTTATTTGGAACACAGGAAACTATAAAGAGCAAAAAAATGTATTTTCCAATTTGTAAAAGCTTACCGGTATGATTTTCATAATTAGAAAGTTTTTAGAGTATGCAAATAAATGATGAAAAGTAAGTAATACAAATCTTGTTTGTAACTTATTTGGAACACAGGAAACTATAGAGCAAAAAAATGTATTTTCCAATTTGTAAAAGCTTACCGGTATGATTTTCATAATTAGAAAGTTTTTAGAGTAGGGAAATAAATGATGAAAAGTAATTAATACAAATCTTGTTTGTAACTTATTTGGAACACAGGAAACTATACTCTGAGAGCAACTATGTACCATGAGATTAACGAGGCTTCAGAGTATACCACCATCATCGTTGAAAACCCTATCACTACGCTGGATATATTCCTCAATGCACCACTTCACTATCCCCTGGAGGATACACTTCAGATGTATGTTAACTATACAAGTGATGGAATACCCACTGATATTCATGGTGACATAGATTATGGAGATGGAGCTATAGGTTGGTAACCTTTTTCAGCATTTAATATCTAATTGACATATTGTATTAGCAGGTCGAGCATACTTGCACCCCACTCCCCCCCCCCCCAACTGTTCAATTCTCTGTGGTCTTGGGGAGTTAGCCCTTGTATTTGCTGAATAAAGTTTGGGGCTTATACCTCTTGAAGAGTATGAGTACCATAATAGTAGTTTTTAAATTAAATTCACTTTTCAGTTTTGCTCCTCCAGCAGTCACCACTTAAATGGAGATGACATTCTCCCAATCTGAAATTTGCATGAGATCCCTGTATTAATGTTTATGTCTTATATGGTCCCTCCAATAAATAAGATGGAAAGCCAAATGTGTAATACATGTACTTACATTACATTAGAATGACTGTATATTTTGGCCAACACCGTAAAATGCCCATTGATAAATGTCATGATTTCTAAAGTTGTTAATTTGTGTGTTATGAATACTTTTATTTTTGTTAACTCATTATTAAAACTAGCCTGAATTGCACAATTCACATTTTTGTCTTCAATTTATCAGAATCGTGGGAACCAATTCCATATGAGCAAGACTACAGAAATTTGACTTTTAACCACACATATGCCGTCCCAGATTTATACACAGTCCAACTCTTTCTCTACAATTATGTGAGCAGTGCTCATCGCGAATTGTATATTGCTGTGTTGGAAGATATTGAAGATCTCACAATAGATAGCTTCTCAGGTAAGACATAACAATTCTTATAAAAGTTATACAACAATTATAGCATTGTACATCAAAGGACATGTGTTTCATCAAGTAGATCTTGTCCAAAAATGGCAAAACAGATATATTGAAATGAAATCGTACACATACAAGTATATCACCTAAAGTGTAGAAAGATTGGCAGATAAGTACCGTAAGGAACTTGAATTAAATTTAGGTTCCTTTCAGTTTACTCCTCTTGGCTCTGTACTTACCCTGACCCTAAGTCTTACTGTCTAAAAGATTTTCATATATATTTATTTAAAAAAATTGTAACTGGGAAAATGTGAACTATGGTTATACTGAGCCAAGTGGACTAATAGTAGTCCATAACTATTCCTCATGATTGCTGAAAGAGCATAATATTGTCAGCTTGTGTAACAATGCAAGCTACATGTACACATTCCGAACATCGCAAAAATACAAATTATTACCTGAACTTTTATTCAGATATAAAACTATTAACACTTGATTGTGTAATACAATACCTGATTTTTTTTATTCTTCTCATATTAAGGCGAGGATGGGACTTGGACTACCACCCTGCCAATGGAATTTCCTGTGATATTGACTGCTCAACCTCTGAAGGGGACCATAGAGCTGTGTGAATGGAATGTAGGGGGACATCTCTTTAACTCCACCGACCCCACTATAGAGTACGAATTCGATGCAGAAGGGGTCTATGATATTGAGGTCCGTGCCATAAATGCTTTTTCTAGTGACAGAGCTAACACGAGTGTGACCATCATGTAGAGCATTACAATGTACCGAAGGTATACCCTTGTACATATCCTGAACACTTAATTGTTCAGTGGCATTACAACAAGGTAGATTAACTTACAGATACTAAGCGTGTTGTGTTTTATTGTAAATGAGTTGAAAAGAAATGCAGGGGAAAAAATGATATTCATGTAACCATCTTGGCAGACTTTCCCGTTTTTAGAATGAATGGTGTATCGATTATACCTTATATAACATTATGCCCACTACAGAAAACCGGACATAATGATACATTTCGAGAAAGGGGGTACAACCAAGGCAATTTTTATAGAGCTCACTGTCCCCACCGAGCCAAATGTTTTGAAAGCCAAAGAGAGAAAATTAGAACGTTATCAAGAATTATTGAAAGAAGATATCAAGTCCAGCAACAGTAAATCACATCAGGTTATGTAACAAAGGAAAACAAAAGAAAAAAAGAACAGATCCAGAAAATCTTTATTCATGTGAATACCAGAGTATGTAAGAATGTTTCAGTTTCAGTTTCAGTTTCAGTTTATTTTCATATTTCACATGTTGTATAATACATCATTACATTTAGCATGTTACATTTTGTACTCCATTTAGGATGCGTTTATACAAACAAAAAGAATAATACATAAGACTAAGTTGTATAAAGGAAAAAATATGATGGAGCCTAAAGAGAAAGCAATGCTTGTAGGTCATAGGCTCCGGAAGTTACAACAATGACATAATCTTGTGTAAATTCATGATATGCCAATACTCCCCACCAACAAGCCAAGCTCAAAAATCTAAACCTACGGAAAGATAAAACAAATCTTTCCTTTTGTTATTCCTTTCCTCCTTTTTTGTTTCTTTTTTAAGAATAATCTAAACAAGCCTAACGACCTGGTGGTGTACCTGCCTCCTGTCCCCATCTCCTTCTTCCTGCCTTTCTCTCGCTCTCTATTTCTCTCTTGCTCTCTCCCCTTTCTCTCTCTCTCTCTCTCTGTTACTATATTTATCTTACTTTTATTTTTACTTTTACTTTTTCTTTTTTTTTGTATTCCCTTTTAGTGTGTTTTACTGGTATTAGCTTTCGACCATAATTATTTAAGCGTATCCATGTAACTAAGTCAGGGGCTTGCCTCATACAAGCTCTGCTTTTTTAGCAAGCCCCTCCGTTTTGAATTACTTCATCAAGGTCATTTTTTTTTTCTATTGTTCAGTACTGTTTTTTCCCAATATTTCTTATCAACTAAATTTTGTTCTACATAATACTGAATTTACTTTGTTTATATTATATTTGACTGTATTATATTATGTCTGTTTATATTTTGTTTGTTTTGAAACGGAAATAAAATCTGAATCTGAATCTGAATCTATGCAAATTAGCTCTTGTAGGATCTTATGTCATAGACAATTCAAGGACATAACCGCAGTGGACTGATATGACTCTCCTAGATTCATGACTTGTATATAAAGAGTGTTCTCCCCATCATTTTCTGTCACAAAGACTCTCTCCTTCCCAAATTTCTTTCGTCTCTATCTATTTTTCATTAATTCACACCTTCCCTTCTTTTCCTTCCTCTCTTCTTTTTGTTCTACACCATAATTACCAAATCCTTCTTCTTGCTCTAATTCTGTTCTGCATTTTTGCCTCCTTCCTCTCTAAACATTATTACGTCTTATTCATTCTTTTCCCTTTTCAGCTTCTCTATTTTTACAGGATATATTCTACTTAGTAATTGGTTTCAAATGATACTGTAATAATTTCATGATCTTTTTTTCAATATATTTGTAAGTACTTAAACGGAAGTTATCTTTATATAAATTACCGTTATACCAGGTATAATACAAGTTGCATTGCAACAAATCAATCCCCAGGAAGACTTATTATCATTTACGATTTTTTTTTTCTTCAATATATTTGTCACGTATACATGTTTCATTGTAATAAATCGAGGCCCAGGAAAACTTGTTATCATCTTCTTTCCTCATTCTGTTTTACTTATTTATTTTACAATTTCTCATCGCAATTTCAAACCTATCATAAAATTCAATGGTTCATAACTAGCCAAATGGCTATGCCTTAATAATATGTAACAAAAAATGTGTGTATATTTCATGTTTTATTGTAATATGTCTTGTATAATGTTTGCCACGTTTCATTGTAATATAGTCCTGTACATTGTTTCTAAAAAAATAAATTTAACCTTGACTTACTTTTTCCCTCTCGGGAACATTACATGATGTAACGTCCCATTGAGCCTATAAAAACAACTATCCCTCTCATAGCAGTTATTTTGTTTGTGTCTATCTTTTCCTCCGTTCGACCTGAAAAGACGTAACAGATTATATTAATTATGTTAATGGTAAATTCGTTGCAGTAAAATTAAAAAAATCAGCAATTTTGCCTATATCTGCAGCTGAATTTGTTATTCTACTGCAACGAACTTACCATTAACATAATTAATAATCTGTTACGTTTTTTCTTATTGTCATATACGAATCCGAATCACAATCGATACTAGGCCTTACACTACTGTACATTTAAAAGAAAGTTTATATCGTTTGATATTGTTAAAGTGACTCGGTAACGTTGTTGAAGGTTGATGTAAAAAAAATGCGTAATGTTTGTATGAAATGTTACGTATTACATTCCTTTTAGTGAACTAAGGCTCTAACATGCAAACAATCCTGAATTCTCAAACCACAAAGAAATGTATGTTTTTCACTTTGCGACACCCTCTAACAGTAAAGTCTCCCACCAATTTTTGAACTTTTGCACGCGTTTTTCGATGAAAATAAGACCTATAAAACAGGCTTTTCAAAATCTTTCCACACTTAAATGGAATGGCATATAGAGCTAATTCATTGCTTTGTAACGATTTACATTCACCTAAAATGTATTGCAATAATGTAGTTTGGAGAATAAGGAATCGATCAGATCAGCTTTTACCAATTTTTATCATTAATAATGGTCTGTTTTCACTCAAACTTTCAAATATCTCTTTAACTGGACATCTAGCATTGAAGTCAGTACCTTAGCACCATTTTCTCTCATCTGAACAATGTTGCCATGACCCTTTAAAGGGGACAAAAGTCCACAAATTCCCAGTTATTCCCAGTTATTAGAAGAAGAAAAAAGATGGACGTATAATAGTAAAGGGACACTCGACGAAGATAAAATAAGGTACTTGTGAAAATGAAAATGGGGCATCTGTTGAAGGAAAAGAGCACCTATCAGATGTAAAAAGGGGCTCATATAAAATAAAAAAGGAAAACCTATCCAAAGGAAATATAGTACTAAGTAGAAAGTAAAGGGACACGTGTCATATTACCCCCCCCCCCCCAACTCCGTGATCGGAGGGATACCATGCGTGTTACCAAAATGTCCGGTAAAGGGGTACTTTTCACGCACCAAAGTCCGGCTCGTAGTACACAAAAGCCCGTTTTACACACCGGACTTGGGGGGGGGGGGGGGGGGTGTTTTCAAAAGGAGGGAACATGCAGATGCATACCCTAAATAACACTGAGTGGGGGGGGGGGCGGGCGGGAATAATACGTGTACCTCTCATATTTGTACAGGAGCGCTCTTTAGAGGTAAAGGGGGAACTTATATGTGGTAAGGGGTACTTCTCGTACCTAAAACGGGGCATTTATGAGAAGGGAAAAGGGCACTTGTTAGAAAGGGAAGGGGGAAATTATTACAAAGGAAAAAACGCACTTTTATAAAGGAAAGGGGCACGTGTCATAATAAAAAGGGAATTCATCAGAGGTGATGAAAAAAAATGGGGGCGGGGGGGGGCAACTTATCAAAATGAAAAGGGCACTTATTAGAAGATTAGATGGGGAAGTGGCAGTTTTTCTGAGTAAAACCGTGTAGTAAACTGAAATACAAAAGATAAGTTCAGACGGTTTGTACATTTAAAGCTATAGAGCATTTTTTTTGTCCACAAATTTTAATTTTTTTATTATACCTTTTTCAATACACAACACCTTTTTCCCAACTTAACATGACCTCAAGCGGCTCATATTACATTGCAACCAATGGCGGTGCTACAGGGGGCAGGGGGCGACGCGCCCCTCCCTATGATTTTTTTTAAGTGATAAAAGGAAAAGGGAAAGAAAGAAGAGCATGGGGAAAGAGAGGGGGGGGGGGGGGGGGGGGGACAAAAGAAAATTCTGCATCACTACCTCTCGCACACGTTACATGCAGGCCCCGCGGAACGTTTTTGAAAGTGGAGTATTAACGATCAGGCAGAGCGTAAATTGGCGTTGGGTCCGGGGGATGAGCCCAGGAAGCTCAGGGGATTTAGGTATTTAATTACCGTTAGAGCATCCAGGGGCCCGCCTTACGGCCCTTGGTGGGGTCCGGGGGCGGAGCCCCCGTATAAGCTCTGGGGTTTTAGGCATTTTTTATTTTAATTACGGTCAGATGAGCATATTTTGATACCTCATTTGTGACATCGGCAGGTCACTTTCGCTCGCTTTCTTTCTTTTTCTCTGTAACATAATTTTTCAAAAAGAGTGAGGGGGCTCCAGCCCCCGAGCCCAGCCGTTCTCGGGCCCTGACATGAAGGTTTCTAAGTAAGCATATTTTTCGCCCGACTGTAAATTAGGGAATTTCTAAATTTCCAACAAACGCATATAGGTATGACTTACAAAAAAATTGAGAATAAACTGGAAGGAAAATCATGTCATTTCAGCAACATTTTTAAATCACTGGTATCGAATAAGAAATATCCCCCTCCTCCATCAATACGCCAGTGTTCAGTGCCTCATGTATTCTCACCCCTATAACAAAAAACACACACGCTTTCCCATCGTCTCACAATATTTCCACGATATGCGCGTGTCGCTATTATGAAAACCTCAATTGATAAACATAAGTGGCATGCGGAATGTTTAGGGAATTTAATTCCTGTTAACTTTCCTTTTCATTGAATGGAATTTTAAATGTTATTTAATTCAGGTTTTTATTATTGTTATTTTCTTTTGGGTTAAAAATACAAACCATGTTTGCTCCTTTAATGCTCTTTTTTTTTTTTGGGGGGGGGGGGAGGCCGGGCGGTTTTTTTTTCGGCCCCCCCCCCACTTTTTGGTTGGGACGCGAGTACCCCCCCCCCCCCCTCCCCCTGCCCCAATACCAGCGCCATGCCAATGTCGTCTCCTTTCTCTTAAAATTTGACGAAAGTGTAAAGCTTCTAGCTGTGCTTTGCACGGGGGGGGGGGATCTCTCACCTTCATACACCCACCCCCTACCCCCGCTAGGCCCGCTTTGCGTGCTTACTATTGGCCTAATGGCTATATTTCTCGAAATCAAGATCCTTGATCAGTGACCATCGAATTAGAGTCGATGAAGCTGTACTATGAGTCGTCTTCTTTCTTTAAAAATTTGATATTAAAAACGTTTTCTTGCAATCAAGTATCTTCATCATACAGAAGCGGGCTCAGTGAATTAAAAAACAAATTACTGCGAAGCGTGTTCCTCCTCTCAAAATAGTGATGAATGAACGTCAACGTTTCTGCACGCACCCACCTCCTCCCCTGTTTTACCTGCTCAATATGGCTAACATATTTTTTCACACAATTATTCAAGTTTCTACATCATCAAAATCAAAATACCGTGAGAAGTCTTATTTCTCTAAAAATTTGATGAAACTTCAAAGCTTCCGCGCTTCGTGAGGGAGTAGGAAACTCTATCTATCCTCTTTTGCACTCGCCCCTCCCCCATGTTATGTGTTCATTTATATGGCTATGATTACTTCTCGCAATCATTCAGTTCCTTCGTCATATACAGAAGCAGCTAGGCATCGAATTCGAGTTCAAAGGGAGAGAACGAGCATACGCGTATCCTAAATAACACCGCATGAGTGGGGTGGGGGGGGGGGGGGGGTGGCATAACAAAATAAGTTATATTTTTTAATCAAGAAAATGTGCCTGAATGCCTTGGACAGAATGATGTATCTTGTTTTGAAAAATAAATTTGAATATGATTGACCCCACATTCTGAGTAAATCACTTTTGTGTTTCATTGCGCCTCACATATGTAATGTCCCACTTTCAAATGTATACTTAACAGGCTTATTACTACAAACTCATACTAAAAAAAATATATAATTGAAAAGGTCTTTATGAAGAGTAGGCTATTTGGTAAAAACCTAAGCAATGAACTATTTCATGAATTTGACACTCTTTCAAATTTTTAGCAAAACAAAGAGATATTTTAGTCATAAATGCGCGTGGCATCACCCTTATGTTATTCGGTAGTATTTTATCAAAAGTTTTATGCAAATATGCCATAACGCATTACACCGAACTACTATAACAAAAAGCATAAACAAAATCATGACTTACTATTTAAATGTCTTTGGCGGTCTTTGTTACAGGTTCATCTATACCGCGCATTTATCGATTAACAGTTAGATATCGATATCATTAATATTGTCTGCATGATGACACCACCACATCATGACATAATTTTTGGAAAGAAATGTCGAAAATGACGGAAGTCATGGAGGTGTTAACGTGGAAGTTCGTCTTCTTAGTGATCACATCTCACCTTGCAATTACTGGTTCTGGCGTAAGGGCAAATGAGAGTAAGTTTAATGAAATAAAATTCCAGTCATTGATTTACTGTCACTTGTACTTGTCAGTCTCATTCGTCATCTGAGGGCTGAGCCGAGTCAAATATGGGTAATGATATGCGTTCACCCCGCCGTCGCGGTCGGCGCGGCTTTAGACCTGCGGTAGGTTAGGTAGATCTACGGCATAGACTAGACTACACTTAATGCAGCAGCAAGACTGGAGATTGTTTCTAGCCGGTGTAGGTCTAGACCTCTAGATCTAAGTTAGATCTAGACATATTCCTAATCTAGATCTAGAGACTAAAGTAGATGTGTTTGCATCAATAGGCTGAATGAACTGATGATGTCTGTGATGATAGAAGTCTAACAGTTAGGTCTAAGTCTAACAGTTAACGTACTTAGACAGTTCTAGATCTAGATCTAACAGTAACAGTCTAGTCTAGACTATAGCAGATGAGAATTGAGAATGACTGAGAATGAGATTGAGAATGAGATTAATAATTAATAGAGTAGATCTAGGTCTAGATCTATAACAATAAACTTGGTTGGTGGACGATTGAATTGGACCCCTCCAAATCCCATTTTAACAATAACACTAACTCAGAGTTAGAGTCTAGATCTAGAAGTCTAACTCTAAGTTCTAACTAGACCCTAGTCTAGATCTAGATCTAGTACTAAGTAAGCTAGACCCTAACAAAGTTAGACTAGATCTATTTCCGTTCTCTTTGAAATAAAAACAATTCTGGCAATTTTGTTGAGTAGTCTAGATAATAGATCTAGACCAGTAGACCTAGTCTAGATCTAGTTCTAACGTTAGAGGTCTAGAGTCTAGATCTAGGTCTAGTAGATCTAGATCTAGATCAGTACAGTAGATGATATCTAAAATCTAGTCTAGACTCTAGATCTATAATTCTGTTCTGATGAGATAATTTGGAATAGGAGGTCAGTGTCAGACTCAGAGTCGGACTGTCTACTTTGGGGTATCAGACCGCCCTCCCCCCCCCCCCCCCCCAAGCCAACTGTTGTCCATAACTAGCATTGGGCCTAGAACTAGTACAAGTAGAAGTCTAGTACTAGATCTACATAGGGTCTAGGCCTACTAGTACTACCATAACTCTGGACTGGAGAGCCTCGGCATGTGAGCAAATTATAGATCCAGATCTAGATCTAGACTCTACAATTCTTTTTTTTTTTTTTTGAGTGGCCTAGATCTAGATCTAGACTACACTTGAATGCAGCAGCAAGATTGGAGATTGTTTCTAACCGGTGAAGATAGTGAGGTAGTTATGTGTAGGAGGTCAGTGACAGACTACTTTGGGGTATCAGACCGCCCCCCCCCCCCAAGCCAACCAACTGTTGTCCATAACTAGCATGATCTAGGCCTAGATCTACCACATACTAGCATAAATCTAGAGAGCCTCAACATGTGTGCAAATACATGTAGATCTATACTCTACAAATTTTCTTTGAGTGGTCGAAAAACACTTGATGAAATTGACGAGGAAATTATCATTAATAATAATAGGAGAGCAACCTGGTAACTTGACAACCAAGGCTTAATACTGTTTATGAAAGACTACAAAGAATTGGTTTGTTTTTGCTTTAACTTTATTGCTCTCAGTGAAATTTTGTATTGAATCTTGATAAAGTAGACTACCGTATGATGACTTTCATGTTTTTCCATTGATTTGGATAAAACACTTTCATTGTGATTGAGAGCAGGGAAAACCCTTCTGTTTTCCTATTCTTTTTCCACTTTAAACAGTATCTCATAAATTTCTGGTCAATCATATAGGTTGTACATGTACACTGTACATGTATAATTGTAGGTCAATTGAGACAATAATATGAAAACATGGCTATGCCATGTATGCTGTGAGCCATTCATCTGTCCATCTACTGATCCATTTTTTATTTATTTGTTTAATAATCATTCAGTTTGTATATAGATATGCGACGAGACATTGGTTACAAGACTAACAAATTTAAAAGTAGGGTCTAAATGATGTACATATAAATGAATATAAGATCAATTTATTTTGTGAAAAAAAATATCCTTATAGTCTAGGTCTAGTGCTTCTTTACAGACACAACCAAAATCTATTCAAAGGCTTTTGAAAACGGGTGTTTGAAAACATTTTAACAAATATGGAGCTTTTCTTATCACTGAAAGAGTAAGATTCATTTTTGAATTTTTTTTTTCTCCATTTAACATTGAAGTACTAGATTGATATCAACACTGCTTTTATTGTTGGTGTTTGTATCTTTTTAGAGTGTTTATTTTTGTTTATCTAAGTTGTAGAAAATAAGGTTTGTAGATCCAAATGGTATTCGATTGTAGCTCCATGATTTTATGACATTTTCTCCATGTTTTCTCTCCCCCTCAGATTTGTTTACAGTGAGCATCCCCTCTCTTTTGGAAGTGAATCAAACATTTGAAATTGCCTTCTGGACAGACTTTCCATTTTTCTTTGAGTGCTACTGGGACTTCAATGACAACATTATCTACATTGCAAATGCCACTGATCTTCAGGAACCGCTAATACACAAATATACACAACCAGCTGCATACAACATTTTAACAAACTGTTGTATGGCAGGCCAACTGGAAGCCCACTTCTCAGAAGTTTTGGTCTATTCTGAGATATATTATGAAATATGTTCCTATAGAAGTGTGAATCTGACCTATAACTATGACATTTACATCCTTGGAGAGTCAGATCTTTTGATCTTCAATCACCATGAGTTTCCAGATCCATTGTATTATTATATGGAACTTGATGGTTACCCGGTCTTTGATGAGGTATTCTCCTATGGTGCACTGCAAAATGATGACCTGTATGCGGTGCTCTTGGACACTTTACCATTTCCCATGGAACTTCAAAACATCATTGGATTAGGACCACACAATGTGTCTGTGACTGTTTACAGTGAGATTAACAATACAGCAGTGTATTGTGAGTCACAAATCAAGTTTGTGGAACTAGTAAGTATAATTCATTATTATCTATATATGGGTTCCAAGTGGTATAATAAATCAGTGTATTCAATATCTTTAGCGCAGTACTCTGATGTCTGACCAGTATTGTTTTTGTTTTGCTCATTCATACAATAACGTCAACTATCGATATCGATATCATCGCAATATCACACAAAAACAAAGCCACATTCAGTCAAAAAAAATTATTTCACTTGGCAGACTATTAAAGATAATAATGATAATGATAATATTGTATGGCTTTGTTTTTGTGTGATAAAAGAATATATTGCTCTCGCTAAGACTCGTCCGATATTGTCATATCTCAAGCAATATATTCTTGTATCACACTCAAAGCCATCCAATATTATATAATTATTGATGGATGATCAAGAAGTGGATTTTTATCAAAAGAAGTAAGCAGAGGAGGTACACTATACTATTCATTTTTAAAGTTTTGTCATTTTTAAAAAGAAAACTTTCATTCAGGCTATTCATATCCAGGGTTGGGTGGTAAATACCGGTGGCGGTAATTACCGGCGGTAAATACCGTCCGGTAAATAAGATGCGCGTCCGGTAAATATGTAAAAAACAGGAAATATGATTTTAATTCTCTATTTATTCATAATTTTACTTGTTTTTAGCCTCATAACTGAAAATATTGTTCTGAAATAATTAGCAGCACAATACTCATAGTAGAAACACACAAACAGATTTATAAAATCCTCACTGCATACATGTACACACCCAAATGGCATTTTGTTCACATGCTAATTAATAGGTATTCATGAATATGGTAATTAGCAACTGGGAACCAAAACATTCATACAAGTTACTTTTATTGTAAAGTTTAAGATATTTGAATAAAATCAGTGAAAATTTGAACAAAATTGGGCAAGGAATAAGGAAATTAAAGCTTTTTTAAATCACTAGATGACATCATTTGTGGACAACTCTCCATGCCTTTTGTACATCAAATTTCATGTTTTTCCTTCTTTCTTGTGGTTGAGATAATAGAATGCAAAATGATATTCTACTTCACATGTTATGAAATCCGATCAAGCACACAAATAAATAGGAAAAAACGAAAGAATTGTGAAATTTGATGTACAAAAGGTTCCTTGCCCGATTTTGTTCAATTTTTCACTGATTTTATTCAAATATCTTAAACTTTACAATAAAAGTAACTTAGTATGAAGGTTTTGGTTCCCTTTAATGAAGAACAACATATCTAGATTAGGTGTATATTTGGTATCTTTTTCCTGTATTTTTTTCCAGCATTACATAATTACAGACATAGACAAACACACAAACAAACACACACACACACAAATAGTACACACAAGAGCAACCATACTCACCAACATTGTTATTATGTTCAAAATTGGACAATCCCTATGAACAAGTGAGTGGAAAAATATATTTCCCGGTAAAAAGTGGTAAATACCGGTAAAAAGCGGTAAATACCAGTAAATACCGCTTATTCCCAACGTCCGGAAAATAAGCCGCCGAAGCGGGAAATATGCCAACCCTAATCCGAATGATAAGTGCCAGATAGAAAGCTTAAAACTATGTCTTTGATTTTCTAGTACCAATCAAAAGTTTTATTATAAGATAATAATGAAGAGATTATATTGGAAAAAAGTATACACAGAGATTTTGTAAGATTTCATTCTGGTAGTGCAAGCAAATTTGTTTTGTATAGTGCTTGGAGACTTATATAGACGGTAATAGATTCATTTTTAAGAGATGAAGAGGGAAATGTATGAATTGGTCTGTTGGATGTTATATGTTAATTGTGTTTTGTTCATTTCGTTCACCAGATTACAGGAATGGTGTTTTATATCAGTGAGTATTTCGTTCAGACCAACAATCCTTTCATTGGCTCTCTTGCTGCGGAGTCTGGTTGGCCTGCTCTCATTGAATGGAGTGCCTATAATGAAGATACGTTTGAACTAGAATTCTACTTTGATTCCTACCGCCAAGCTAGAAGCCCAGATGAAGTGGATGAAGTGTGGTTGTTTATTTCGAAGCCAGGTAAAGAAGACATCCTAACTTCTATTTTTATTTTGTCCAATTCCTATAAGAAAAGCTACATAGTACATTTCACTTGCTCTTTTGTGTGTTTAATGTTGTCTTTTATTCATTGTATACCATGGTAATTGTATAAGAACATTATAAAATGTATTTTCCAAATTTTAAAAGCTTACCGGTATGATTTTCATAATTAGAAAGTTTTTAGAGTATGCAAATAAATAATGAAAGTAATTAATACAAATCTTGTATGTAACTTATTTGGAACACAGGAAACTATACTCTGAGAGCAACTATGTACCATGAGATTAACGAGGCTTCAGAGTATACCACCATCATCGTTGAAAACCCTATCACTACGCTGGATATATCCCTCAATGCACCACTTCACTATCCCCTGGAGGATACACTTCAGATGTTTGTTAACTATACAAGTGATGGAATACCCACTGACATTCACGGTGACATAGATTATGGAGATGGAACTATAGGTTGGTGACCTTTTCCAGCATTTAATATCTAATGGACGTATTGTATTAGGAGGTCGAGCACACTTGCACCCCCAATCCCCCCCCCCCCCCCTCCCCAACTCTTTTCAATTCTCTGTGATCTTGGGGAGTTAGCCCTTAAATATTTGTCTGTAACTGATGTAAGTCAGTGCTGGACAAACTCAGATATAAACTGTATGTATACATCTTGGAAGATTACCAGTACCATCAGAGAATTTTTTTAATTAAATTTACCTTTGCTCCTCCAGCAGTCCCTACTGAAATAGTGGTGACATTTTCCCAATCTGACTCAGTGAAATTTGCATGAGATCCCAGTATTACTGTTTATGTCATATGGTCCCTCCAATTTACAGTAATGCTATAAACAAGATGGAATGTGTACATCTACTTTACATTACATTAGAATGACTGTATATTTTGGCCAACACCATTAAATGCCCATTTATAATTTTTGTGATTTCTAAGGTTATTAATTGTGTGTTCAATATGAATAGTCTTTCTTTTTCTTCAAAATCTTGTTAACTAGCCTGAATTGCACAATTCACATTTTTGTCATCAATTTATCAGAATGGTGGGAACCAATTCCATCTGAGCCAGACTACAGAAATTTGACTTTCAACCACCTATATGCCGTCCCAGATTTGTACACAGTCCAGCTTTTTCTCTACAATTATGTGAGCAGTGTTCATTACGAATGGTACGTTGCTGTGTTGGAAGATATTGAAGATCTCGCAATAGATAGCTTCTCAGGTAAGACAAAAAAATTCTAATAAAATGTATACAACAATTATAGCCTTGTACATCAGAGTACATGCGTTTCATGTGGATTTTGCCCAAATATATAAAAGCAGATATAGAAGTGATATCGTACACAAATATCACCTACAGTGTAGAAAGATTGGAAGATACGTACTGCATGGAACTAAAATAATTTTAGGTTGCAATAACTTCAGTTTACTCCTTTTGGCTACTTTTGGCTCCTTTTAACTCCTTTTGATAAAACATATTGATATCTAAAGTAGATGTAAACATATTGCACAGAAAACCCAAAACCATCCCTTACTGTCTAAAAGATAGATATATCTTTTTTAAATAAAGTTATTGTATATGAGAAAATGTGAAATGTGGTTAAATACTGAGCCAAGTGGACTAAGAGTCCCTATTCTGCATAATACCATGGACCTAGCTACTATGAATGGACATTCAACGAAGCAGTCCCTTGGAACCTACATGTACAGTATGAGCTCCACCGCTATAGGTTTAAATTTTGCGCCGATCCAAAAACCCATTGTGTGGTCCCACCCCGATCTGACAGCTGGATGTGATCACTTGCGCAATCTTGCATGAGCGGCGCCTACAGCGATCCTTGCAGGCGCGTAATTTTGGGTTGTTCGCTGCTCCTACAAATCGTTAAGAACCTAGTCTTAAATAGTATAAGCAAAATGCAGACGTAGCATAAGCAAATATATTTTTGTCTCGCGCCTGTTATTTCATTCTGTCATTGCTTTCAGCGCTGTATTCACTCACAATTATTATTTATTTCGCTGTGCTTGTCCGTATTGTAAATGTTCCATGATACCAATAATGTATTGTGTGAATTAAGCGACTCCGCTGATAGAGGGCGGCCAAATTGCGGCAGGTCTCATTGGACCAAAGGCCCGGCCCTTATCGAAGCCTATTAGAACATGCCGCAGCTTCGCAGTCAGACCTTAAACAAATTGAGAGTAAAGTAAGACATAAGAACAGGTATGGTAGCTATCATTAGTTTGACTACTCTCGCCATCAAAAGTCCATTCGTAGTAGGTCCATGGTGTAACAATGCAAGCTACACATTGTAAACATTGGGCACACAAACAAATTTTTCAGGTATTAACATTGATCGTTTAATGCACATTGCCTGATTTTGATTTTTTTTTCTCATGATAAGGTGAGGATGGGACTTGGACTGCCATCCTACCAATAGAATTTCCTGTGATATTGACTGCTCAACCTCTGAAAGGGACCATAGAGCTGTGTGAATGGAATGTAGGGGGATATCTCTTTAGCTCAACCAACCCCACTATACTGTATGAATTCAATGCAGAAGGGGTCTATGATATTGAGGTCTATGCCACAAATGCATTTTCCAGTGGCAGAGCTAGCACGAATGTGACCGTCCTGGAGAGCATTACAGGAATATATCTCATCAACGATGGACCCGTCATGGAAGCAGATGCAGTTACATTTGTCCTCTTCTCCTACCAGCTTGGATCAAACTCTTTATTTGCCTTAGATTATGGAGACGGAACCTCAGAAACTCTCCAGGAACCCCGGATCCAAGAAAATGTCACCATGTACATTCCTTCTGACCTTGACTTGCCTTTCAATCCCAGGGAGTACTTTTCAGTCAGAGTGGAGCACACGTACGTTTCGGCTGGATCGTATACTGCTACTGCTTCTGCTTCCGATGCAGTCTCCATCAGGCATGCAATGTCTGATGCATTTGTCCAAGCCTCACCCTGCTTTTTACCCAACATGCATATATTGGATGGTGAAAGCAGCTACAGCTTGGCGAAACAATATCATCGACAGAAAAGATTTCAGTTTGCTGCAGAAGTCAACATAGACTGTGTCATGGCTGCAAGTACTCATTATGAGTGGCTGGTATTCAAGCTCAATGATGTATTCACAGTGCCAGTGGATGAGAACCTTTATCAGCTACCGGCTTCAATCAGGACTGATCTCACAACACTCTATGTACCTGCATTCACACTGGAATATGGAACGTATGTGTTCAGACTTCATGTCACTATTAACTTAAGAGATGGATCTGTAGGTGTGAACAAGAATGATCAGACTTATATCAGAGTGGTAGAGTCTCCTCTTTATGCTGTCATCAATGGGGGTAGCTCGAGAGCTATTGGTGAGTGTCTGTCAACTATTTTACTCAACGCTTCCAGGCCTTGTTTCTTAAAACTTCTTATCATTAACAAATGATAAAATTCAATGACAAATTAGCTCTCGGCTATTCAGGTGTCACAATTTCAGGAGCTTATAATAAACAGTTGTCATGGATAACAAGTTTTATTAAACAGGGCCCAGATTGTTTAGTAGAAAGTAATGAAATACACATTAATGAAATTAATGTGTAGCTCACATGGAACAGTATTGATGTAAATGGTGATAATTTCAATTACAAAAGTCACCTAAACAACTTCTGTTATCATTTTTGATTTACCTGAAAAACTTGACTTATAGAAGTTTGGGAGGTTACTGGTACTAACATGTACTGTATGTATGTTTATTTTTCAGCCCGAGAAGAATAATTTTACCTTTGCTGCCTACAGTGTACTTTGAATTTACAATGTACATGTAGGTGAGACTCTACTGCATGCTTCATGAAAGGAAAATAACTTTTTCTATCATACAACAGCATGTTAATCAGGGAAATCAGATGTCCAATGATAGTGTTTGACAAACAAAACACTGCATTTGCATTGTCCATGGATGCTTGACTAAATTATCATAAATTCTCATTTCATTTTTAACAGGCTGGTATCGTGACATTTATATGGATGGTTCATTGTCTAAGGATCCAGATGTCGATGGAAATCAAGACGGTCTTCTTTTCAGCTGGTTCTGCCGGAGATCCAATGAGACATTCCCATCTAACGATGACCTGCTCTTACTTGTGAATCAGCCATCAGGTTAGTGCTAAAGTCCTTATATGCTACCTTGATCTTCTTACAGGTATAGACCAGTTTGGAACGCCCCCCTCTCAAATAATGAAATGGATAATAATAAATGGAGTAATACGTGATGATACCAAATCTGCTGAGGGCCGCCTACTAATTCGTCCTTGTTTTCACGAAGTGACGGTAGTGAGGAAAATCGTAACGCAAAGTGAATGCAATTTTTTTTCACTACCGTCACTTCGTGAAAACAGAGACGAATTGATATATTTGGTAAATTATTATATCTACTAGCAGGACCCGCGGAAATCCGCGGGATTCTAGAGGGGGGCGGGGGTGTAAATAGATATATAGAGACTGTCTAAATTAAAACCGCCAAGAACTTTATTTGCCATTCAGGCCATTAAGAAAATATACATGTTTAGCGTCCCCGCCCGCTTCCTTTTTGGGGGCCGCCTCCTATTTTTTTTTTTTTTTTTTTTTTTTTTAATTTATTTTTTTTTTTTGAAAGAAAAAAAACATGAAAAGTACAGCTAAAATGTATTTCTGATTTAAAAAAAAAAAAAAAAAAATTGTCGGCCGCCATCTTGAAAAATAGCCCGAATGTCAGGGAAAATGTACGGAGCGGCCATTTTGAAAAAAAAAAAAAAAAAGGGCCTCCTCCTCCCCATTTTTCGAAAAAACAGGACGCTAAACATGTTTTTTTAAAAATTTGGCCTTATATAAAAATTAAAAAAACGATCCAACTGTACCAGTAGTTATTCTTTAAGCCACTGGAACTGCGTAGAGTTCCGTAGTGTGGCGTACCGACTATGCAGAAATTAGGCTGCGTATTAATGGGAAAATAGTCCCTGCGTAGGTTATGCGTAGGCTGGCGTACAGGTTTGCTTATGGTTGCTTACTGTGTGGAAAGCTTTTACTGCTTTGTCGATCTGGCGTAGGGTAGCGTACTGTTGCGTAGGCATGTAGCGTAGTGTTGCGTAAAAAGGCGTACTTTCTGCGTCGAGTTTCTACGCCGAAAGTACGCAAAAAAAATTAAACATGTTGAATTGTTTTCGTTCATCTTGCGTACCCCTTTCCGTCCCTCAGCATATAGTAACGTAGGCCAGCGTAGTTGGTACGCAACACTACGCAACTCTACGTATTGACCCCACGCCAATTAGTGACCCGCAAGTGTCACAAATAAAGTATTAAAAATATGCTTATCTGACCCTAATTAAACGCCTAACCCCCCCCCGAGCTTTCGGGGGTTTATGGCCCCTTGAAACCTGTGGACCCCACGCCTACATTATATATACACTCAACTCGCTGCGATCTGATCTCTCCCCCCCCCCCCAACTTTGCAGAACGTAACCCCCGAGCTTTTGGGGGTTTATTGCCCCTTGAAACCCGTGGACCCCACGCCTATATTATATATACACTCAACTCAGGAACCGTGGAAATCCAAGGGATTCTAGAGGGGGGCGCAGGCAAAAAATTAAGTTTTTCATTTCAGGGGCTCCATTTCAAATTTTTGGGAAATTTTCGGGGGCTACTTTTTCAACTTTCGGGGGCTCTTTTTTCTGGGGCTACTTTTTCATTAATTCATAAAAGGATAGGCCTACACTTTGTTGAGATTTGTTTAGTAGGCTAAGGACAGGTTTCAGGCTTCCTACTTCATAATTGCCTATTTAAAAAAAAAAAAAAAAAAAAAAAAAATTCTAGTTCAATAACTAAGATTTCATGCATTGATTTGATGCAAGAACTGTAACATAATAGACCCTAGATCGTGATTATTTCTGACCATGAATTTCGATAATCATTTTTCAAAGTAAAATTTTCACAAGAAAATCAGACAGTCGTTTAAAAACGTAGACATTAGTAATACTTTTACTAATTCTAAGCTCAGGTTTCGTAAATCTATTCACGATACTATATTGAAATCGCGGCAATAATGATGCAAACCAACAGATAACAATTTCAAAGTGTCGAATCTCTTCGACTCGAGCTCAGCTCAGCTGAATTCACACACACTGCACAGGGCCCTGCACAGCAGCAATGCACTGTGTGTTGACTGAAGGCAGCGTGCGACTGAACTGTCAGTCCAATGGTTTTCTTGTGAAAACTTTCCTTTAGAAAATGATAATCAAAATTTAGTATGTATGGCCGTAGTAATCACAACATAAGCTTTCATTTCATACCTCCATTCACGAAAACTATATAAAAATCGCGGCAATAATGATGGAAATAGGTCCCTAAGTTTGGACGGGGACGGGAAGCTTCGTGCGTATCTCTGTGGCTTGTGCAGCTACTACAAAGGATATCCTATAGAAGGATGCTTTACTCGGGTAATCCCGACCCTGTGCATAGTGCATTTAATACGCAACTTAATGTGAGTGGATAGTCATCGGTCGTGTGTCTACGGATGTTATGTTGAATATCCATGAGGTATCTCTGTCGTCACGCATATCCTGCATTATGCATATCGCGTCTGTTTTCGCCCTGGACGTCGACACGGAGGAGGACCTCGGGCGGAGTATAGCCAATTCCACAGAGTAGACTCTCCCGCGGACGATGGCACCGGGCACGGGTACCCCGAGGGGAGGGTTCAGGAGGAGATAGCTGCACCAACTTCGGTCGGCGATCTCATTATAAAACAATAGAATACAAAGGCTCGCGGAGACGTCGCGCCCCCCGCGGAACCTTAGCGTATTATTATTATAGACTAGCAGGACCCGCGGAAATCCGCGGGATTCTAGAGGGGGCGGGGGTGTAAATAGTATAGTTACTGTCTAAATTGAAACCACCAACAACTTTATTTGCCATTCAGGCCATTAAAAAATATACATGTTAAGCGTCCCCGCCCGCTTCCTTTTTGAGGACGCCTCCTATTTTTATTTTTTTTTTTGAAAGAAAAAAAACAGCGTCCCCGCCCGCTTCCTTTTTGGGGGCCGCCTCCTATTTTTTTTTTTTTTTGAATTTTTTTATTTTTGAATTTTTTTTGAAAGAAAAAAAACATGAAAAGCACTGCTAAAATGTATTTCTGATTTTAAAAAAGAAAAAAAAAATTTTCGGCCGCCATCTTGAAAAATAGCCCGAATGTCAGGGAAAATGTACGGAGCGGCCATTTTGAAAGAAAAAAAAAAGAAAAAAAAGGGCCTCCTTCCCATTTTTCAAAAAAACAGGACGCTATAAGCATGGTTTTTTTTAATTTGGCCTTATATAAAAATTAAAAAACAATCCAACTGTACCGGTAGTTATTCTTAAAGCCACTGGAACTGCGTAGAGTTCCGTAGTGTGGCGTACTGACTACGCAGAAATTAGGCTGCGTATTAATGGGAAAAAAGTCCCTGCGTAGGTTATGCGTAGGCTGGCGTACAGGTTTGCTTATGGTTGCTTACTGTGTGGAAAGCTTTTACTGCTTTGTCGATCTGGCGTAGGGTAGCGTACTGTAGCGTAGGCATGTAGCGTAGTGTTGCGTAAAAAGGCGTACTTTCTGCGTCAAGTTTCTACGCCGAAAGTACGCAAAAAAAGTACGCATAGTTGGTACACTACGCAACACTACGTATTGACCCCACGTCAATTAGTGACCTGCCAGTGTCACAAATAAAGTTTTAAAAATATGCTCATCTGACCCTAATTAAATGCCTAAAACCCCTGAGCTTTCGGGGGGTTATGGCCCCTTGAAACCCGTGGACCCCACGCCTACATGTATATTATACACTCAACTCGCTGCGATCTGATCTCTCCCCCCCCCCCCCCCCCCCCCACTTTGAAGAACGTTTCTTGGAGCCTGCATGTAACATGCATGAATGGTGCATGGTGATGCAGATTTTCTTTCTGCACCCGCCCCCCCCCCCCCCCCCCAAACGATTTTACTCATTACGTAACTGTTTTGCAATGCATGAAGTCACATACTTCTCTCTGGTTGAGTACAATTCATAACCTTATTTAAAATTAATGCTTTCTCTTAATTTACTGTAGATATGGCTGAGTAGACGTAGAGTCGGTGGACAAAATTATGGCACTTCGGCCCGCACGCTGTTGTGTTGACGGGTTCTTCAATGAATGGATAGACGTATGTGTAATTGTATAGTTGTACGATTATTGGCCTGCTTGGCCCCCCATACTCTTCGACTCTACCTCACTCAGCCAAAGTACTCATGTTTATTCATGAGGCCGCTAGCCTAGCGTTACTTCGCACCTTCGTACGCTACCCACGGCCGACACAGCGCAGCACCACCGTGTACTGTATGTATGTGTGTGTAGATCTGAAGGCAGCTTGCGACTGAATTGTCAGTCCAATGGTTTTCTTGTGAAAACTTTCCTTTAGAAAATGATAATCAAAATTTAGTAGCATGGCCGTAATAATCACAAAATAAGCTTTCATTTCATACCTCCATTCATGAAAACTATATAAAAATCGCGGCAATAATGATGGAAATAGGTCCCTAAGTTTGGACGTGGACGGGAAGCTTCGTATATCTCTGTGGCCGTGCAGCTACTATACAAAGGATATCCTATAGAAAGATGCTTTACTCGGGTAAGCCCGACCCTGTGCGTCGTGCATTTAATACGCAACTTAATGTGAGTGGATGGTCATCGGTCGTGTGTCTACGGATGCAATGTTGAATATCCATGGGGTATCTCTGTCGTCACGCATATCCTGCATTATGCATGTCGCGTCTGTTTTGGCCCTGGACGTCGACACGGAGGAGGACCTCGGGCGGAGTATAGCCAATTCGCTAGAGTAGACTCTCCCGCGGACGATGGCACCGGGCACGGGTACCCCGAGGGCAGGGTTCAGGAGGAGATAGCCGCACCAACTTGGGTCGGCGATCTCATTAAAAAACAATAGAATACAAAGGCCGGCGGAGACGTCATGCCCCCCCGCGGAGCCTTAGCGTATTACTATTATAGACTAGCAGGACCCGCGGAAATCCGCGGGATTCTAGAGGGGGGCGGGGGGTGTAAATAGATATATAGAGACTGTCTAAATTAAAACCACCAAGAACTTTATTTGCCATTCAGGCCAT